GGGGGGAACAGTAAAATTAACTATGTAACTTACCAGAAATGGCCACATTGAGACCTTAGAATGAGAATCGAGGATAGACCCTTGTTTTATGTGAAGGGAAAATACACACATACGCACATGCACACACACGCAAGACTAAAACCCACAAACCACTACCCTCATTAAGGAACAGAATGCCGTTCAAATGACCCACGGCACACTAAAGCGGTCTCCTTGGGTCCATTGCATTATTAAGTTCTTCATCTTTTATTAATGGTGAAATTAGGCTGCTTAAACATGGACAGCAGCAGGACATCAGGAAGCATTGTGATGATAAGTCATTCAGGGCAAAGTCAAATGGCAAAGAGGAAACTGGAGCTATTGGTGTGGGAACTGGGGGGAGGACATATAGCCCCCAATGATTAATTTGGATTCATTCACCCCCAATGAATAGACCTTTATTTAAATTAAGTAGTTTCCCCTTCCAATATCCAGCTCTCACCTACACCATTGGTTGGAGTATCTGCCTGCTCCTTACGGAGAGTCCTGATTGGCTCCCTGACTGCTTCAGTTCTGCCACATCCCTGCATCAAAGGCCAGGCCTAGAAGGCCACTCAGAGCAGCTATGAAACAAGAGGCACAACGATGAATTGAGGCAGAAACATCAGCCGCACAGCTGGGCAAACCTCCAGGCCAAAGCTCCTGGGCCGTCCCTCAGCCTGACGGCCGAGCAACGCTTCAAACCCACTGATGGTTCCTCAGACGGCCTAGTCTGCGAGCCGAGGCCAATCGCTTGTCACGTCCGAGCCGGCGGCAACAGCTAGAATCAGGCATCCATGCATTTCTGAAGTTGCATTTTCGTATTTTTTTCTGCTATATCCTCTGTCCAAGTCTGACAGGCGCTGTGTTACCTGTTCTCTTATCAGGGTGCGACCAACGGTCAGTCAAAGATTCAGCTTTGTGCCGGGAGGAATGGTGGGGTGTGTGGGGGAGGGGGGGGACAATTCACACAGGCAATTCAGAGCAGGCAATTTCAGATTAGCGTTTCCAAATCCTCGCCCCCAAAGCCTAGTTTGAATGCTATTTTTTGTCACAGCTGAGCCCGAAGTTAATCAGGAACAGTTCAGCTCTTGATTGTTCTTTCAGACCATGACTTATGTCCCTGATTTCCGAATTCTTAATAAAAAAAGGGTCTATTTAAAAAAAATACAGCACTAACATTTTGGGTTTATTTGTACCCCAGGATAGTAGCACATTACATTTTTAAATTTGGTGCATTAATTAAAACTGATTAATGATTAATCAATTACCAGTAACAGCCCCAGTGCTGGAGTAATCAAGTGACATGATTCATCAATCATTAAATATAATTTAATTAGAAAAATACATTTAATTAATTATAATTATGCACGACAGTACTCATCCGGTTTTAAGAATAGCTTAGTCAAATTTGCTTACGGTGATCTATGGCAAAAGTACATTCACCCAAGGTCAACAACTCATCTCCAAAGACAGATCATGCACATGTGTCAAGGTTTTAGCTAAAGGCAAAACAAAAGCAATGATCACAATGGGGGAAAAGCATTTCTTTCTGTATTATTCTTCTAGTTAATCTGTTGGTACCAAATGCTGGGACCACTGGGTTTGGCTACTGTGAAAACATACTGAACACCATAGATACATAAAGAACAGAACAGACGGTTCCACATTGTTTAGATTTGCATGCAGTGGTTTTAGGGATAAACTGAAGTTAACTGCTCTCTCCTGGTGCCTCTATCATGGAGCGGTATTTGTTAGCTAGATAACTTCTCAGATTTAAGGTAACCCAGTTTAAAATGTGCTTTTTGTTCAGTTACATTTAGCCCAGACCACCTTAAATCTGACATGCTGTTATCTTGCTAACCCAAAAATCTTGCTTTGTGCTACAGGCCCCTGGATAAACCAAGAGTCTTTTGTAGCATGAATATCCTCTAACCAGAGAGTTTTGGTACAGTATGGCAGTGATCTGGTGAATTCACCAAACTCCACGAATAGAAATGTGCCAGTTAAACATGAATAAACCTGTCCAAATAAATTTGTGTGACACATTTCTGTGAATATGTTCTTTGGAACACTCACAGGTATGAGGGAGCCGGAAATGTTATAATAAACACACACACACACACACACACACACACATACACACACACATACACACACACACATTTGTATTGCTATCTTTATGGGAATCATCCATTTATTTCTATGGGCAAAACCCTAATCCCGGCAATCACGACCTTAACCATAAGCAACCAAAACAAGAGTACAATACATTTTCAGTTTTTTAACTGCAGTCACAGATTTTTATCAAATTGAGTCCCGCCTTGTGGGGACCGAAAAAAATAGTCCCAACAACGTCAAAATAAACAGGTTTTTATCACATTGTGGGGATGTAAAATATACATAACCCACATCCACACACACATACCAAAATAGACATATAAACATCATCAAGCAAAAAGGAAACACTGTTTTTGAAAAACCACCAGTGAATCCCACCTGGAGAAGAAACGACTAATGAAAGTCCGTGTGGGGGGGCCGTGCTTTCAGAGATGCGCATGACCGCTTTGTCACGGGAAAGTAAGGCCAGCGGACGGTCAGGTCGTTCTCAAGGCCACATCTCACACCGCTGCTCCCCACATGGGGGCGCCACGCCAATCTCCATCACTGCGAAGCAAAGCGGCAAATGAAGAAGCCCCCTCAGAAGCCGTCCATACAGTACGTATTCCAAGAACGCTTTCCCTCCTTCGCAGTAACGGAGGGGATTACATGATCTGGGTCTCATTTTAAAAACCCATTAAAATAACGTAACAGGCAAAGACGGGACGAGAGAACAATCTTATTACTTAAATTTTTATCCTTATCCAAGAAATGGATTCTATCGTTTTAATACATGCTAATGTGTTGGGGGGGGGGGGGGGGCGATTGAGGCACCAGCTGCTCCACTCTTACCTTTCACATCTATGGGGAAGGAAAGAAGGAGGGATGAGGCCATGCATTATTTATAATATACAAGTGACCTTGACAGTTATCTAGCTTCGGGAGACGAGCAATCGTTTTAATCTCCTCCCGCACTGCCTTAATTGATGTCTGGGATTCCACGGTGAGAAAATAGCCACAGAATGGATATCGTCAGGCTCCCCACACCTGCGGCTGATCAGGCTGATAGATTTCCTTTGAACGCCAAAGTCTGGTTTGTGGCCAATTTCCAAAAATGTCCTTAACATGCCGCTTACAGCCCCACTTAATAACCTTCAATTAACTTTCGCTCCCCTGCCCTCTGTGGGCCGCAATAGCCCAATCGGCAGCAAGTTTCATACAGGATGTATGCATTACAGGTTAAAATAAGATGAGAGCTTCTTCAGATGCTTCGAGTTTCTGGGAAATAACTCAAGTAAGCCTAAACTTAAAGCCGGACTAATTGCGTGCCTGTCATAGATTATGAGAGAGCCATTAGTGAGATTTTCGTTCCAGAAATCAGAATAACCTGCATCTACGAGAAAGGCAAATGGGACATCATACTGACAAAAGGATCTCTGTGTTGAAGTTTTATCTATGAATAGGCAAATAGACTAAAAGTTAGTGTCCTTTCATTTTGAAGAGTATCCCCCCCCCATATGTAACTCATAACCAGGCTCCCTTCCTAACAATATACATGCAAAACTAGAGCTAATGCACAGACAGCAAGACAAGTGTTTATTGCAGAAGTCCATCCGTCCATCCATCCATCCATCCATCCATCCGTCCATCCAGTACAGGGTCACAGGAACTATTTATGTTTAAATGGCTATTTTAACACCCTGTCAATATTCCAGTCTGCCAAGATTAAAAATAAATTGAGGCAATTTTTGTAGCTCCTGACCTTCGGCGTTTGGAAATAAAACATTTTTGCAGCTGGACTTTGATTGGAGAGCCGTTCTTCCCAGGGAATGAATTTGATTGCATAGAATGTACAGAGCTGAAGGTGATGGGGAGAAACAGACAGCAGAGCAGAGCTGAGGAGGGGAAGGTGGCAGAAGACTGAACGCTGAGCTGCTCCTTCAGCTATCTGCAGACAAGCACAGGGAAATTCACAAGAAGCACCGTCAAGCCATGAATGCAGACTTTCACACGCCTCCTGTTTCATTTATTTTTCTACTAATTCAATGTTTTATAGCCATTAAAAACACATAGATATAGCAATAAAAGAAGGGATTCTGTCCAGTACTTTACGTTTTGAGCCAGAGAGTCGCCATTAGTATTCAAAGATGTCACATGAGTATTAAATCCTTCCGGTTAGATTCATTAAATACAAACCCAGTTCTTTTCCGCAAGCTATGCTACTGTCTTTAGGTTAGCTTCATTAACGCACACTATTCCATAATGAATACAATGAACACAAAAGATGCAACAAGTAAATGAATACAGCCTTTCCCCCCAAAAAAAATACTCTTTGAATATCATGGTTTCAAGATGAAATATTTTCCTCTCTGGTTTACCTAGGTCCTTTAGGGGAACGCATTCTAATTCTGGTGCTCTGTCACTGAATCACCCGGCTACACTAACGAAATAAGGGGACTGGGGATCCAGTCAGGCATTCATAGATGTTCCGTGACCTTTCGTAAGGAGCAAAGGCCAGCACTCCGCTCCTTGGTGATTACACCTGCAGAGGGGCTTCTTTCAACCACTCACCCCCCACCTTCATGCCCGCAATTTTTACTACTGTGATATTTTCAGGGAGTTATTTTTTCCAGCACCACTTCCAATGCTGTTGATCAAAGACCTGCTGCCTTTCTCCCCCTCCCCCCACTTGACTAGAATGTCAAATCAATAGATTCCTCTTTGTGTTTCTGGGGGTAATATCTGATGTAATGTCTTCTCATTGGGGACCTCTAATTGTACATCTACTGCAGTTCTACTTTTTCAGGTCATAATCACTAAGAGCCAACAGAAAATGGCCATTTTAATCTATTGTGCCTCATAAACCCCATTTCAGAAAGATTATTGCCTAGTGTTTCAGAAATCTGAATAAGTTTTTGCACAACTTTCTTATACACATCAATAAAGCACAAACTGAAGCCGCATGAGCAATTCAGCAGATCAGCAGGACATATTTATTTAAGCAAATAGTGCAATGAAACTTACATCCCCTGCTATAAATGTATTCTTTGATCTTCAGCTGCAGTAACATTCTGGGGGGGGGGGGGGGCACACAAACACACTGGGGCGCGATGTTTTGAGCAGAGGATTTAGGTATGTATGCTTATACACATACACAAGCCCTGTGATGATTCCCCCAGTTTGTTACCATCTCAGATAAACCAAACTCTCTCCACCCTTGTGTTGAGTATGATTTTGTAGCTAGTTGACCTAATATGGTGCCCAAGCAGAGCACCGAGTTCAGTAATGAGTAACAGAGGCTTAGCACCCCTACAGTCTATGCATACGCATAAACATCTTGCCTGGACAAGATGACGCACCTAGAGGCTGGATGTGTGTTCATCTGGAACATCAGGGAGGGAGAGAACTTGGCATGAAGCCTGGGACTGGTGCCATCCCATGCCAGGTGACTGACAGGCCTGCAGATCTGCTAAATGACTGCCTGAATTGTCCCTTCCAGCCCCCGAGTCAGCGTGGCTGTTTATGAATCATCGTTACTCCTGGAAAAATGCGTCTGCTGCAATGTGACGTTTTTGTCAAATTTAATTGGCGCTTGGAACGGTCCTAATTAGGCTCCTTACAGAGATCCTCACCCTTAGGAAGTTGTAGTTTCAGCGTCTGTTCAGCCCGGGTTCGAGAAAGTATGCTGGAGAGCGAAATACCAATGCATAGAACAAGCACAATCCTTTTGTGAAGCCTCTACAGGTTTTTCTTTTTTTTTTTTTGTTAAGGTCACCCTGAGAACATCTTGCAAGTCTATGGCTTCACAATTCAGTGCTTCTGGAACGAAGTGCTCTGGAACGAACTGCATCCTTTCAATGCCACTGGAGGCCAGAGAGATAGGTCAGCTTTTCACTGTCTGGGTCCCAGATTCAACCTACACCTCAGTAACAAATCTGGCAGAAACGGTGAGTGGGCGATGCCGCAGCTTTCGAGTGCAAGCTCTGTCGACCTTGGATGCTGTGGCGGCCAGCATGTTAGACTGGCACTGTCAGTATCACTAACTGAAGCAAGAGATGATGCCAAAGACAAAGGAGAATACCTGTGACCATACCAATTATACCCGAAAAATGATAAGACAAACTTCTTACGGTTTATGCGCATCCTTGATCTCCTTTTCAAATAGACTCAAGGCCTAAAAATTTTAGCTGGTGTAACTCGAAGGGCAGACATTATATGTAGAGGAAAAAGCCTTATAAATAGTGAAGCCACCTTTACCTAGAACTAGAGATAGAACCTTTAGAACCCAAAAAAACCTGAAACGTGGTGAGCTGGTCATTATCCACAGAAAATGAACTAGCTGGTTCTTGGCTCAATAATTATATCAATATGTTTGTATTATATACACCATTTTTATACAACTATTTGACATTGTTTATTTGGGCTTGTGAACCTCTTGACTTTCACAGCTGTCTGTGCTTAAACAAAAAGCTGAAAAACAATTAAAAATTGACGTTTTGTTTTCACAACTTGGCTTCCAGGTGCTTTAGAACAGCGAAAGGAATGCAACATCAGCACACTCGGTATAATATAACGTGAAAGATTCAAGCAATGGATTGATCCATTCTGGCCGTACAGGGGACGTGGGACCTGAAACGGCAATACGGGGGTCTCAGCCGGATCAGACATCCCAAACACAAACAAGGTTTTATTATTGCCATATCAAGCCCTTGCCAGTGAAGCCTACGCCATTTGCATCAGACACAGCTCAGTCTCTGGGCGACCCCAGCGTCCGTGGAAAGACGCCTCGTTTCCCCCCCCCCCGTCTAGGAATACAATTAAAGTCGACCTCAACCCATCTTCTGGTGGCAAAGAGAACGGGAGAAAGGACATGAGCTCAGTGCGTTTACTCACACTCAGATTAATGGGCTTAGGTCGTTCGCTCCCAGAAAATGTAGAACTATAAGGCATCATTATTACCCCCCTGCATAAGATTGGAGGAAAGAAATTGCTATTGCAAGAGGAATATTCCTCCCATCTGAATTTCACCCTGTGCAAGTGCATTAAGTGTCTACATGCTGTTTTGTCTTCACCATATTCCAAATAAATGACTGCAACAAATATCAAATGCCTACATCTAGGCTTGTGCCCTGGTGTCACATTCCGAGCATTTCACACTACTCTGTTTTCATACAGCTAGTTTTCTTCCCACATGAGAGCTCGGTCAGTACAGTTCACTGTTCTGCATCCTGTATTTCAGTGTTTCCCACTCCGGTCCTCGGGAACCCACAGACGGTCCACGTTTTTGCTCCCTCCCAACCCCCTGGTAGGGAGCAAAAATGTGGACTGTCTGGCAGGTAGTTGGGAGGGAGCAAAACCATGGACTGTATGGGAGTCCCCTTGGACTGGGTTGGGATAACACTGCTGTATTGGGAGTCTGGCTGGGGGGGGGGGTGTGATTCAGAGTGTACATTTCAGAAAAATAAATAAACCTGATATAATCCTCCAAGGAATGTTGGGCGGCTGTTACTTGGGACAATTTCACGCGAAGATGGAAGCCATCGCAATTAGTCGGCACATGACACTGATAGCAATTTCGTCGCTCTCCGATTCGCCCGCTCGCTCATCCCCGCTGTGACTGAAATGACCTTGCTATAGCATCAGAGCACACAGCCCCACCCTATCGCTTGGGGACGATTCAGCCAGCCCCGAAGGATATTCCAAAAAGCAATGCGACGCAGGACAGCTCGCCATATCTCTGCATATATTCAGAGCGATCCCCTTTGCTTTATGTGCCCCCCCCCCCCCACAGTTTTCTATACTAAAGTGGCAATAAAAATGCTGAACATCAAGTGGCACCTCGGTGCTGTGCGGATAGAAGCTGTTATGATAGCAATTTAGCACCGGAACATACACATACCGCTGGCTGAAGGCTGAGAACCTCTAATCAAGGGCAGAATGATCATAATCGCCATCTGCTTGTATTGCGCACACACACACACACACGCACGCACACACACACACGCACACACACACACACGCACACGCACACACACAGGTGCTCAACGAATCCAGCAATGCTGGTTGCTCGTGGTGCATCTGCTCTTGTATGGGGTATGTAAGTGGGTGTCTGTCGTTCAAAGGTTGTACCTGCCTGACGGTGCGAGACCTTGTTTGTCACAGTCGAGGGCTGACTGGTACCTTACACACCCCCCCCGCAGTAAAGGCCTTCTTTGTTACCAGGTTTGTTACCCACATTGCTCATGCTGAGCATTTCTTGATTGCTTACAGCATGCAATTACCCTCCCCCCCCCCCACCTAACCTGCTCAAAATTGATTTTTTAAAGACAGGACATTAAAATTTACAAACCTTGAAGGCAAAATCGTGAAGAAATGGCCTTGTCCTTGTATGTCTGTTTGGCTTATTTTTTCTGTTTGTTTGTTACCCTTCCTGGACATTTTGCCCTGCAAAGCTACCAGCACCCATATTCCGGCTTTGTGATTGGCCGCACTCGGCACTACACGAGAAGAGAGTGACTACACAAATATCATTTCTAAATAAATAAATACATAGATAAATAAATAAATGAATAACTCTGGTCCCTCTATTTCTACTTTTATTTGTTGACTTTTACATCGGTTCTAGGACACCAAGGACATGTTTATCAGCTCATGGGAACCGTCAGCAGATCGCCGCTGATGATTCTATGCGTGCAAAGAACACAGTGGTGATTTTCTACAGTGCGGAAATACAAATCCTTGACCGAGGTCTTCATTATCTCCTTACATAACTTTCCCGGGTCAACAGTCACGGAAAGCAGTTATCTGTAAGCTGTAGAAGTTCAATTTGTCCACATGCAAAGCTGAATAAAATCTACTACAGCTGGTTTAGCATCAAGCATGAAATCCTGGACACCACAGGCAGTTGTGATTTCAGTCCATCATCTATGTTAAGTACAAATCCAACGC